CACAAGGTCAGCAGTTCAAACCCACCAACTACTCCTTGGAAACCCTATACAACAACACAACATACTGGAAAAAATATTTATGTGATATATTGATAAGCACAAAAAGGAATGGCAGGTAATGTTGCCAACTGAGAGTTGTTATCCCTAAAGGTATATAAACACATAATTCACAGAACAAAAAAGTATGTATAAAGATACTCATCCTTATTAATAAAGCAATGAGAAAGAAGCTATTTCTTTCATTGTTTGACTTGAAAAAACACAATTATGCATTCTCAAAATATAGTATTTAGCTTATGTTTAAAAGTTCATCAAGCCACCTTGTAAAAGATATAAAGTCAAAGTAAACTATCACACGTCTTATTACAGACACACTAATAAATTAATTATAGAAATAAATTATTCCTTTTAACCTCATTTATCTTTTCTCATTTTTTTTTTTAACCTTTTCCTTTGTGTGTTTTTGTGTGTATCTCTCTGCAGGTTTCAATGATTAAAATCTATCCCAGGATTATATACTTACCAATTTTTCTTCTAATATTCTCATAGTTGAATTTTTTTACACTAAATTCTTAATCGATCTGGAATTCATTCCAGTCAGGATCTTTCTTATTTTCTCCAATTAATTAACCAGCTGTCCAAACCCATGTATCAAAGGCCTCTCTCACAATAATCTGATTCCAGCCCCGCTTCCTTCATATGCGTCCCAATCTCATTTCATGTGCATTATTTCTACAGGCTCTAAACTGGCCTTCCTCTCATCAGTATTCCATTACCCACATGCTTCCACCACCCCTCACCCCAAACACTGCTCCCAACACTGGCAACATGGCGAGCATGTCACTCCCCACTTAAATCCTTTCCATGGTTCTTGCTACTTTTCTGACAAAACCCATACATTTCAATATGTTCACCATTAGAGTGGCCATATAAACAGGGAAACAACTGGAAGTGAAAGGGGAGCTACAAATAATTTGGGAATTTTAGGCATAAACCAGTACTATCCCAGGCAACCCAAAACAGACAGTTAACCAAACTCGAAAGGCTCCACTGTGCAGCTCCAAACTCTTGCCATTTCCTCTTTCACAAGCTACAGTTGAGCCATACTGAACTTACCTTACAGCCTTGAGCTTGACAATTTTGTTTTTCCTTCTTGGGACTTCTATAGTATTTACTTTACCTAAAACATTTATTTTTCTCATTCTACACCCAACCCACACCCACTCTTTAGAACCCTCTGGTTACCTCAAACTCATCCTTTAGGTCTCTACTTCTACGCCACTTCCGCTGGAAAGCTTTCTTCAACAATCCCCCGACCCTAACCCTTAGTGTTGTTTAAGATTGGATTTACCACTAATTCTGTATGTCCTCGAATATTTTTGTGTTTTTAAAATCCAGTATTTTTCCTATCACTTCCATTAAACTTTGTATATTTTTTACAAGCTGTACCCATAATGGTTGACACACAGTTGGTTGGTTATGGGCCATGGAGTCGGTTCCGACTCACAGCGACCACGTATAGGGTTTCCGAGGCTGTTAATGTTTACAGGAGCAGAAAGCCTCATCTGTCTCCCGTGGAACATCTGGTAGTTTCGAACTGTTGACCTTGCAGTTTGCAGCCCGATTTGTAACCACTACGCTACGTATCAAATAAACACCTAAGATGAATACAATTTTGTCTCTAGTGGCTCCTAAAATTACAACAAAAATAACAAAGAAACTCTAAGAACCATGTTCACAGAGTATTACCTAACCATTGTTGTTGTTGTTATGTGCCGTGGAGTCGGCTCCGACTCATAGCGACCCTGCACAGGGTAACTACATATTTGGTTACACACACACACACATGCATATATCTATATGTATGTATGTAAAATTTTCTTTCTTTTTACTTTACGACTGAAGAGCTTTCCTTCTAGAACCAAAAATTAAATATTTAAGATGAAATAGCAATTTAAAAAAAGTAAGCAATCAATTTCTCCACTTAAAAATAGAGACAGTATTCATTCAAATCAACACCCCAAAATTACAGTTTTCATGTTTTAAAAGCCAGTTTAAACCCATTTATAGGTTTACTATTCCACTGCTACCTTGCTTGTGGAGGCCTCGTGTGGCACCGTGGGCTAATGCGTCCAACTGCAAAGTCGTTTGAACTGCAAGGTCGATGGTTCAAGCTCACCAGTCGATCCTCGGAAACCCTATACAGGGTTGCTATGGGTTGGGACCGAATCAACTCAATGGCAATTAACAACAACACCTTGCTTGTATTAAACAAAAGAATAATAATTTTTTCCCAGTCCAAAGAAGAATGACTCATTACATTATGAAAGAGCATGACGCTTATTTTGGGGCTGGACTTCTCAAAGTTATTGCCTATACAAGTGGCATTCAGAGTAATGGTGATTTCCAGAAATGCAACATTACTTGTCAGGCTAAATAAGACAAGAAAGGTATTTTCCTCCTAATATTGGCTACTTAGAAATCCCCATTGCCAACTGCTATATCACATGTCTAGAATCTTACCTACTTTCAACACATACTTCCAGAATCTGTATCTTTAATGCTGTCTTATCACCAGTTTTGTAGTCATACTGCTACATAAATATGTAAACTAACAAAACTCTCTACCTAAAATATTTTCTCCATTATAAAGTTTAACTTTTCAATGATTATAAAATTGGATCAAGGACAGCTTTATAATACCATACAAAGGGGCATTTCCCACATCAGACAAATACCTTTTTCTACCCAGTATAATCTCTCATTACTACTATTTTATTTCTAACACCCTTGTATAGAACACAAAAATCACTTTTTGTCTGAAATAGTCTTCGATTTCTAATACTCTCTTCTCTATCCATGATGATGTTGTGGTTGTTATGTGCCGTAGAGTCGGTTCCAACTCATAGTGACCCTGTACAGGGTTTCCGAGGCTGTAAATCTTTATGGGAGCAGAACGCCTCATCTCCCATGAACAGCTGGTAGTTTCGAACTGCTGACCCTGAGGTTCGCAGCCCGATTCGTAACCACTATCCTACCAGAGCTCCTTATAGCATTCTCAAACAAGGAGTTAACAATCTCTTGGCAGCAAACATCACAATACACTGGTTTTGCATTAAGTTCTCATGTGCAGTCTAATGACCGGATGAAGAAATCTTCAGAGCGTTCTCTGGCTATGAAGTACTTTCTATAAACTCCTAACCTTTCTGTACACTTGAACTTTATTATTAAGCAACTTTTCTACTCTAATCTGATCTTTTTTCTTTCAGAACTTAAATTTAACTAGCCTCCTACACCATTACAAATCAACTACCCATACGTTAATTATAGTTCTTTTATGCTTTACAGTTAAGTTCGTGGCTTATGATTATGTTGTTGCTGTTGTTAAATGTCATCAAGTTGGTTCTGACAGTAATCCTATATAGGCTGTCTAGTGGATTTGAACCATTGACCTTGCCATTAGCAGTTCAGCACCTAACTTAGAGTGACACACCAAGACTCCTATGATTACTTTACTTAAAGGTATTAGAAATTGGCACACTGGTGCCAATTGGTTGAACACTCAACTGCCAGTCAAAAGGTTATTTGTTTGAACCCACCAGTCACTATGCAGTAGAAAGATGTGGCATTCTGCTTCCACGAAGACTGTTGCTGTTATGTGTCGTCAAGTTGGTTCTGACTCATAGCGACCCTGTGTAGGGTTTCCAAGAGTAACTGGTAGGTAGGTTTGAACTGCCACCATGTGGTCAGCAGTCCAGTGCTTGTCCTACAGTGCCATCAAGGTTACAGCCTTGGAAGCCCCAGAGGGCAGTTCTATTCAATCAGGTCACTGTGAGACAGAATCAATTCGACAACAAGGGGTTTCGAAATTATAGTTCATGCATGCTTCTACATCATCTTTTATTTAATACTTTTTAAATAAAAATTTAAGATCATATAGAACACCGTTTCAAAGGAGATTTTTCAAACGTGGTAGACAATCAGTAATGGTATTGTGACAGAAATGTTCATTCAACATCCTGTCCATGCTTGACAGAAGTCATCACGATTAACTGACCACTGTAACTATATAGTCCATAAATTTTGATTCCGGGAGCAATGTTTTACATAAAATTATAGTAGTGTCAAGTTCCAAATGTATAGGTTATTAGATTTAGTGCTACAATGATTTTAGAATTACCAGCAGGAAAAATGCTAAATATACCAATCATCAAAACCAAAAACCTATAGCCAGTGAGTTGATTCTGACTCATAAAAACCCAACTGGACAGAGCTGAACGGTTCCATAGGATTAGCATAGCCAAAACTGTTATTGAAACAGACTGCTGTATCTTTTTCCTCTGGAGCAGCGGGTGCATTTGAACTGCCAACCTTGAGGACAGTAGTCAAGTGCTTAACCACTGTACTATCAGGATTCCACAGACTAATCATATCTGGAGGAAAAACAAGTGGTAAGTATGGGAGAAAAGGGCAAGGAAGAATTAAAATTTGTCTACTGGTATTTCACAATGGAAAATTGCTTTGCTTTGTACTAAGATGATACGATATTTTGAAACATTAATTGATGAAGGATGAAAGATGAAAAAGAAGGAAGGAAGAAAAAGAGGAATGGGAAAACAATCCTATAGACAACTTTAGATACATTTGTCAAATATATTGAAATAGTAGCCAAGTAAAATGAACCTAAACAAAATCATGAGTACTAAGGTTCTATATTTTGTTCTCTCAACTTCATTTAAAAGGAAAATAACCTTGAAGCTACACTGTATTTGCCAACTTAAAATTCCAAGTTTCCCATTAAGGTTTTTGTAATGTGTCATAACATTACAATCAAAAGCACAGCTCTTTTGCTTTAATAGGATTTAGGCTCTTAAAAGATTGCATGCTATCTGAAAATACATTTATTTGAAAACTGATGCTCAGAACAAAATTCTTCTGAAGTTTTTTTAAAAAAATAGTCCTTTTGGAACCTATTTATAACAGGCGTAATGTGTCCTCACCTTCACATTGGGTTTTGACAGTAGTTTCAACAGCTCTCTGATCTCACCATTTAATGGCTTGTTCTGAAGCTCTTCGGCCAGCTGCAAGGGAGGTTACATTGTCGTAAAGAACATTTAGTAAAAAGCATTGTTTTACTCAGTGTGTGACAACTTGAGAATCTATCTTATTCAAGGCTACTACTTTCCAGCGTTTAAAGAAGTCAGTATGAGAGAAAACAGATTATCAATCACTGTTCTTCTTTCCAGGCCTTTAGTAGTCAAAGCGATGTCTAGGTTCAGGCTGACTACAACTCAAGTAATCACATCAGCCAAATCACTTTCTGAATGATCGCAACAAGGGCAAGGCCCAACACTTCATTTATGTGGACGGTCTTGTGCACACAGACAAAGGACCACTTGTAAAAAGAACTGGATCAAGCTTTTACACCATAAAAAAAAAAAAATAAAGTTTCTGAACGAGGTGGTGAAATGCATAGTGTTTCCACAGTAGCTGTGCTGTTTAGAGCTGGAGTAAAAAGAAATAGAATGCTCCTAATGGAGCAAAGGGTCTGACACTTTTATGATATTTACCTACAGAATAAGAAGTCTGTTAAATATAAACGGAGTTTATCATAAAATGACTTATGATAGGTTCACAAATACTTGAATACAAAAACATGCTGATAGTCCCTACAATGATCAAGAGAATTCCATTTGTAGGTTTTACTAAAAAAACAAAACAAAAAAACACACCCTTGAATCTGGCTCATGGTCTCCATAAAAAATGTTCCTAAAAGAATTTCTACTCAATTTTAGATTATAGGAAGAAGGAGTGCAAAATTTTCAAAAGAAGGAAACCAAGACTGTAACAGGAAAAAAAAATTACAATAATAAAATATGCCATACACAATCCAAAACATACAAATATATTTTTATAAATGAGCCTTTTATTAACATTGAACATTTCCTTTATTAATATTGAACCAAATTTTTATTTTCACCTATTGCTTCTACTTGTCCTTCTCTGAGAAAGGACTTTTCTCTGTGAGAACGGCATAATGCAAATTACATACAAAAAATAAAATCAGAGAAAACTTAATATTCGATAATCAAATGCCAATAATTGCTTTTAACTTATTCAATGCAACATTTTTACAAAGTTCTTAACTTCAACAAGAACAAAAGGTTCTTTCCATCTGCTAGTCACATTATATAACAACATAATTACACTGTTCTTATAAATTCTACATACTATACTTTATCACATACATGATCTATCATTTTTTTTCAAAAGCACTATTTTCATACAATTGGGTCTCAATTATATTGGCTTATAAACAAACATGTTTCAAAGATTTAACAGAAAATGTCTAAAAACTGATTTGCAAAGTGATAAGTGCAATTTACCAGTGAGTATAGTTACCCACTTTCAACCATTTCTAAAGCTTTCCTTCTATAATGAGAGGTTAGTTTCCTAATAAAACACATATTTAAACATCTGTGTAACCCCCATAGATAAAAATAGAAGAGAAATGCTCAGGGGCTAAGCAAATAGCATATGATTTGGATGTCAACTACATATGATTTATTTTCTAAATTAGAGCTATATAAATAAAAATCAACTTTTGAATATGATCAGATTTTAGAAATTATTATATTTCAGATCCTAGTATCGTACTAAGCTACGTTACAGTTCCATCAAAATAAAAAAGAAAACATTTTAAAGCAACAAATAAGCTTACAGGATTATCACCCAAGCTAGCTTTCACAACGAAGAGATTTCTAGGCTCACTTAGTGTCCCTTATAGCTTATACAGGTGTGCTGTCAATTCATCCAAGTCAGAGCGCTAACAGTAAGAAACAGCAGGTTAGTTTAAAATAAAATTATAGCTACAGGAAATTAACTACTCCATCAATGCCAATTGCTCCTAAAATTTATTTTTTGGTTATGAAGGTAATTTGGAAAAGTCTAATATCCATAAATCATTGCTATGCCTTATAATCCTTTTTTAAACACAATCCTGTCTTTTTATGTATTTCATATGTCTCATTCCTAGACTAGTATCTGTCATTTTTTAGCACTGTCAGCAATCCAGCTATCTCATTTGTCTTTATTTCTCCAAAGCATTCCACTTGTCTTTGACTTTCTTGAAACACTAACAGCTGACAGCTTTTTTCTCCCCACAGAGTTGCAGCCTAAAATTTCTATGACGTAGTTGCCAAAGCCAGAACACGAGAATATCTACATGTAAAACCCTTCGAACAGGAAAGTGAATGAAAACTGAAATAATATCAGCAGAAGCTCGGTGATGACAGGATTTTTGGAAATACTGGAAAGTTTTTATGGTTCTCACTCTGAGGATTACACTGCTCTGTCTGCAATGAGCTGAGTTCTACCTATGGATAGGTCTGGGGGGTGGGGACTGCCCTGGCATCTCAGACAGGATACTTACATCATCGGCCAAGGCCGCTGCGCTGTGGAGGACGGGGGCAGGGCTCTGTTTCTCATAGTAGTGTAGCTTCTCATGAATCTGTAAAGAAAACAAATACATGTAATTTCACCTACAAGCCAACCATCTGAAATGTTCAAATACGAAGGTATCATTCTATTTGTAAACAAAAACTGATCCACTAAACTTCTTAAACACCAGATGCATATTTATTAATCTATCAACAGCAAATAGTTATGTGCAGCGTCTCAATTACACAAGTTTACAATATAAAGTCAAATGAGGGAAAAAAAATCTTCATCTAACAGAACACACATAAAAACAAAAAATGTGTTCCCTCAAATAAAAAAGCTCTTTTTCTAAAATCTTTTATATCTAAGCTTTAATATTCAAGTATCCGTTGAAGCTTACATTCCTGCTAAAGACATATATTATGACTAAAACACAGTGGTTACCGAGCAGCCACTTTATGTCAGCCCGGGGTGTAAAATCTGCCAAGAATGAAGAAGCCGGCGCTACACACATCTCCGTGCCAACACGCCAGGAACACCTGAGCAAGCACACGTCTCTCTTTTACTCTTTATTCTTTTTTTTTTTTTTGGTCCAAATTGTAAACTTTTTCCCCCAAATTTAAATTTAGGAAACAACCAGATTTCTCAAAACTTTTTGGTTGAAATAAGCATTTTCTCATAGTGCAAAGCATAATTACCAAGAAGCACAAAGGCACCGATATATTCTAATGCATTATAAGACAGATTGAGAATCTTTAAGTATTTCATATTATAAAGGTAAATAATGGAAGATGCTTTGACAAACACATTAACTGCCAGTAGTTACACTTAATGTAGTTCAGCTCTTATAAAAGTACCCTTCAAATTTTATACCTGAAAGCTTACGTTAGCCTCTTTTTCTATAGTTAAAGACAATTGCCCTCCACTATGGATGAAAAACCAGATATGAGTTGCACCTCACAATTTCCTGATTTTTAATAGGCATCAAGTAATACATACTCTAATTATACTCAAAATCAATCTCTCTTGCAAAGAGTCTGTAAGATAGATTTTACTTTGATTAACCAGATGCTATTGCTAAGAGACAATTCTATTACCCATTTGGCTACATGGTATATAATGCAAAGCATTAGCAAAGAATTTGACACTTATGATATTACCAGAACGATCTGGGCAACATTTTTACTTAATGCAAGTATACTGGAATTTTTAAACACTGATCCTGCTAGGGTAATATACAATTTTTTAAATAATATAAAAGCTATAAAAGAATTTTCATTTGAGAAGCTAGTAAGTAAAGCATAATTTAAAACAAAAAACAAGCATCCTGAAGGCTAAATTAATTTTGTTCACGTAATTATCAAAATTTAGTTTACCTCAACATATGCTATCATAAAATACTGAGCTAAGCCTATTATAAAATCCATCTAATGGAATTGCAATTATTTGTTTAAATCTCTGCTTCCCATGTGTAAAAACAAGAGATACGTATATTTATGAAGTGAGTGCTGATGTGGCGCTGTGGGATAAGGCCTGGACTGCTAACTTCAAGGTCAGTGGTTCAAACCTACAAGCTGCTCCTTGAAAACGCTACAGAAGGTCTCTATGCATCAGAACTGACTGGACTGCACTAACAACAATATAATTATGAGGCACTTACGAGGAGCTGTATTACCTACAAAATGGTTGTTGTGGCTGCTAAGTGCTATCGAGTCATTTCTGATGCATGGTAGTGGTAATTACGTGCCACGGAGTTGGTTCTGACTCATAGCAACCCTGTTCAGGGTTTCCAAGGTTGTATATCTAGAGACCCTGTATAGGGTTCCCAAGGAGCACCTGGTGGGTTTGAACCACTAACCTTGCAGTTAGCAGTCCAGGCCTTATCCTACAGCGCCATACCAGGACTCAACCTACAAAACAGTTATTAGTAATATTAGTAATATAGTCTTCGATGACTTTAACAAGAACACTGAAAGAAAAGTACATTCATCACTTTCACATCACAGATAAACAGCTACAGGAAGTAACACTTCCACAGCTAGTAAGTGGCAGAGCAGGAGTCAAAATGTCAGGCCCTCTGACTTCTTAGACTAAGATCTCCTCTTTGGTCTACATTGACATCACTTGCTGAACGTGACTCCGATCCATTTATAGGGCACTGAGACCATTTTGGGTACATATGTAACAAATGTCAATGACTGTTTTCAATGACTGAAGGATTATAAATGGTTCCAATTCCACCTCTCCCTTTTATTTCTCTTTCTGTATTTCCTAATTTTTCTACATTGACCTGTATTAATACTATAATTGTAACATAAAATCATACATTCCACATTAACTTTTTTCCACCCATTTATTTTGTTTCTTCTCAGTGTCTTTTTTTTTTTTTTTTTTAAATGCAGTCAGCTCCACTTTCTCATCCTTCTTCTCTAGATCCTTACCCCCAAGCCTCAGAATTGGTGACTCCTGGATTTCATCCTATAGCAAGTGTTTAAAATGATTTCCTAGAACGCCAAAATGCTAACAAACCTATTGTTGATGCGTGCTTTACTTTGCTACATAGTTTTAGAAATAAACTAGTATGAAACTAGTATAAAAGTACAAGAGTCCTGGTGTGGTGCTAAGCACACCAGGTGTCCTGGGTAGCTAACAGCAAGGTCGCAGTTTAAACCCACCAGTTGCTCCTCGGAAACTCTAAGAAAGGTAGCTATTAGTTGAAACTAACTCAACATTACCTAACAACAATAACATGAAAATAAAAATTATAAGACTTGTGAATTGTTCATTGGTTTAGGAAAACTCTAACACTATTCAGTTTTTTACATCAGAATATATAATATTGGGGGGGGGGTGTCCCAAAGGATTTTTAAATTTTAACATAATTCAGGGGACATCCAAAAAGTTCATGGGAAAGTTCCATCATCGTTTCATTCTCTTTTTCCATGATCTTATTGATGTCCCTCAAATACCTAGGCGCAGTGGTAGAATTCCCACCTTGCATGTGGGAGATGTAAGTTCAATTCCCTACCAATGCACCTCAAGTGCTGCTACCACTTGTCTGTCAGTGGATGCCTGTGTGTTGTAATGATGCTGAACAGGCTTTGGCACAGCCTTCAGACTAAGGTCGATTAGGAAAAAAGACTTGCAGATCTATTTCCAAATTTAATCAATGAAAGCCTATGGATCATAACAGTCTAATCATAACCATAGAGATGGCAAAGAACTGGGCAGCATTTTGTTCCACTGTGCATGGGGTCACCAAGAGTTGGGGGCCAACTTGAAAGACAGCTGATGTCAACAACAAAAAACACAGTAATACATAACTTCTCATTAAGGCAGTCCAACGGGATTTTCTGTGTTGTCCTATGTGGTAGCCACACTCACATGTGGCTATAGAGTACTTTGATTTGTAACTGAATAAATGGATTCTTAATTTTTTTCTATTTTGATTCAATTAAATTTAAATACCCACATGTGACTAGTGGCTTTCATACTAAATAGCACACCTTTTGTTTACACTGTATCTTCCCTTTACATCCCAGAAAATTCTCTCTATTATAGTTAGATTAGCAAATTTCCTAGGTGGTTAACGTCTGAAATTAAAAAGAACAATACATAACCAAAGATGTTGCTTATTCATAAATAAGGGAATCTATGATTAAACACCAGTTATAGAGAAACCTGGAGTCCTGGTGTGACACTGTGGGTTAATGCGCTGGACTGCAAAGTTGGCTTGAATTGCAAGGTTGATGGTTCAGGCTTAGCAGTTGCTCCTAGGAAACCCTAATCAGAGTCGCTAGTGGTCGGAACCCCACTAGATGGCACTTAACAACAATAATAGCTAAACCTGCAAAATCTTATTATAAATAAAGGCTTTCCTCTGCAGACTCAACCATGTAATAAGAATACAGTTCAGGAGGTGGGAAAATGGCAGACTGGACAGTAATGCTATACAGACCCTCTACAACAAAGACAGGGAAAAACAAATGAATAGATGCCAGTGATAGTCCTGGAACCTGAACTCTAGCTGAAGGGACAGAGAAGTGGACCAAGTGCTCACTAAGAGAGGAAGCTGAACAGACATGGTCAAAAATGGTGCACAGACTGGCAACCTGTGCTGGCTGACCAGACACAGCAAAGCCATGTTAAACCTTTGTAACAGCTTCAGAGACAAAACAGCATATTGGAATGCAGAAGCATTATCAGTGACTTGTGGAGCTAAAGATGTGATTCTTTCTAGTTTCCCACACTAACCTGTTTACTAGAAGTATGATCAGTCCCCACCTGAGTACACCGCAGTAAGCTCCACTCTCCCTGTGGTAATAACTGGATGGTGGTGAGCACTCAGTTGTGAACCACATCAAACTGAGTGCAGAGCTGTCTGCATAGACCCTGGTGCCAGGATTCAGGTAAGTTCTGTCCCAAACCCTGGCCAGGCCTGGATTCGTCTTAACTAGGAGAAACAGCTGAGCAGGCACATTGCAGGAGGGTAGTGGGGGGTGGGGGTGGAGTTAGGAAACAGGTGATCTGTGCTGTCCTGCCAGGTCCAGGACAGCCATCTTGAACTTTGGATGATGGTTTGGAAGGCAGAAGGTGGTTGGTGGTGCAGCGGTATACTGTTTATTGATGGAGAGCCAGATATGAATTTTTCTTGTACCCTACATTACCCTGGTGACCAGAGGTGTGGGTATCCCCAACCAACATATACTCCCAATGAAGCTACTGCTTTCCAGGCAGTTGGAGCCACATCAAAGGGAGTTGGGAGCCGGCCGCACCAATTCTGGCATCTGAAATCAGGTGGTACCCACTCCAGATCTGTAGAACTGGTTCTAGTCAGCCATGGACTAGCAGGACCTCTTGCCCTGGGCTGCCCTCTTGATAGGGACAGTCTAGGGACAAGGAGAAAGGAAACAGGGCCTGGGACCATGGTAGAGAAAACGGCACCAGGCACAGTGAACCACAAAGAGCAGGAACCTTAAAAATCAAACCCCACCAAGCACAACTAACCAACCAAATTACTACAACCAACCATAAAGAGAGAGAAAAAAACACTAGCTAGAGACTTTACCT